ACCATCAGCTGAAAACAGATTAGCTTAATCAAGTTAACATCACAATATGGGGCAACATAGTTCGTCTTGGGTTTGGGCTTTGTATTTCCTTCTGCCTTTCTATGAATAAAACACCAATATTACTTCTTAAGAGAGTGGAAACATTACAGACAGAACGAGGCTGTGGCTGGAGGTTAAACATCAATGTACTTGGCTCTTTCCCATTACCGAACCTCAAACTCAGCCTCACACTCAGCCTTTATGTGAACAACACATGCAGTCGTCCAGTCTAGTTTTGAGAATGGCCTCAACCTGATTGATAAGCACACCCATCACATCTTAGTCAGGTTGAAATACTTCCCTGATTTGAGGAAGATGGCCCTGAATGCCTGAAGAGTTCCTGCTGTTTTGCTGTGTTATAAAACTGCTCCTAACCCATGGTCATCATCAGCCCAGGACTTAACAGTTTATCAGTGCTCTAGATGCAGTTACTTAGTCTGAATTACAGGTGGTTTTGCAGGTAAGCACCTGGTCTAATGAACTGATACATTTTCTGCAACCGGCTTCAGATATGCAGCCTGAGCACCTGAATGTTATCTCCTGAAAGCAGAGCTGAACAACCTTCAGGTTTGGTGAAGACCAGCGTCTGTAAACACAGTAGCACAGTCTCTGCTATGCCAACAGGTGGATAAACTTCAGTTAAAACATTCCTCAAAAATGGTTCACTGGATCTTATTAAATCTATCATCACTACAGGAAAGCAGTAGCTCATGCAACGTGATGTGGCAAATCACCACTCAGCCGAGCACTCACACAACCACCTCTGTTAGTTGGCTGACAGAGACCACTTCTTTTTCAATTACAACTTTGGATTTTATCATTTGAAGAGCCTGTACTCCAACTCAGTTCAAAGAGGAAGGTTAACAGCAGAGCTTGGGGTGCTCATTCCCATGAGGTACCTCAGCCAGTCATCTAAATGAAAAAAAAAAACCCACAAGCAAATGAACATCAAAACAGGGATTAATTCTGCCTTGAATCATGGCTTCTGACAAAGGAGCTGCAAGAACAATATAAAGCATGTTATAATCAAGGAGCTGATGGGTGGAGAGAGAAGTATTTCAGATGGTTGTGACACCCATAAACATCCATTGTCTGAAGCGACTCCTTGTCATCTCTTGGTATTTTGAAGTGTCTGCAGATGCTTGCGCAGGTTGGGGCGTTGCCATGGATACCGTGGTGTCAGTGCTGAGGCTTTTAGCAAATGGGCTGATCTGTTTGTGTACCTCTGGAGTGAAAAGAAAGAAAAATACCATCATTTGTGCGGCTGCTAGCAAAAGGAGCCTCACAGTGAAATGCAATGACTCTACATAATGGTTTTAAGAATCTCCTCCTCTTGGAAATGATGAAGTGAGAAAGAGAGGGGAGGTAATGAAGCAAAGGAATGAGGAGAGCTGTCAGGTGTTTAGCAAAACCCCTTCTGCATAGCTCAAGGCAAGGTCCTTGCACGAGAACGTCAGCTATATGGTCAAGAAAAAATCAATACAGAGGTTTAATAATTCAGTTTCCTAATGGTCTGGCACCACTTTCTGCAAGAGACAGGCAAAAGAACAACAACAAGGATAAAAGGCAAAAAAGAGTGATCAATAGACAACATAACACAGCAGAATAATTCGCTGTAAGTGATACCCTGGGACCAAAGAATGGATATGCATTATGAAACTAATATTTAACCAGTGTACAAGCAGTGTCTTTACCTGGGCACAACTCCACTGCTAAGTGAGAGGCAAAATGGGTTTAGAAGTGACAGGCAAGTGAGTACACAGGAAACAAAGTAAAAAATCTGGGCAGTGTTCCAGGTTATTTTCAAATTTAGGCTCTTTTGTTGGTGTTAGAACAACCCCATATGTGTGGCACAAGTTCCCATGAGCTGAATTCCCATACATTAATGCAGTATCTTATTAAGTCCCACTTGATTATGAGTTTTGGGGGATTTGCCCTCTTTTTCTAGAGGCAGCTCTACAAAAATTAGGCACATCACTGAGTGTTTCACCAAGAGCTTCTCTTGCTTTTGAGTTTAGGGATCAAAAAGCACTAACGCTTTCCCAGGAGAGGTTTGTTCCTCACTGCTTATAGAGATGTTAAAGTTAAATAGCTGTTAACAACAAGAAAAAACAACAATGTGGAGTCACCCTTGATGTGCATTTTCTCAGTAGGGCTGTGTCACCGTATATGGACCAGAAATCCAGTGTACAGTATTTTATAGTGAACTCCTCTCTTCTTAACTGATAGGTTTCATTCATATTGTTTTCCTGTCATAAAACACGGGGAAAAAAAAAGGGTTGACCCCTTGTATGGTCAGCTGTGGTTCCTCCATGAGCTCACATCTATAAGGCAAACACCAACAGCAATCTTTGGAGAAAAAGAAGATAAAAAGAAGACCAAAACTGCAATCCTTGCCCTTGCCACAGGCCCCCTTGGTCTGGCATCACACCGGAGGTGTAGGCGGGAACTTGGTTGCTATGGACCAACATGACCATTTACTCCAAGGAAGCTCTTGAGCACGACGCCATTCCAGCCTTGCTCTGGGGACGGTCTAGCACCGTTCAGCTGTTTGCTCTTATCTTTGTTTCCCATTGCTGACTCACACTGAAGGCAGCTGAACCTCAAGAAAAGCTTTCTCCAGGCTTCCTCTCCACACAAGCCACAGCCATAGCCACCAGAGAGCTGAAGAGTGAGTCCCTACCAGATGCTGCTGGAGGTTTAGAGAAATTTTCTCCTGCATTCAGATGAACTGTTATTAAATTCAAGTGCCGAGCTGAGCACTCACCTCCAGACTATTAATTAATGTTGCTGGAAGCACAGTGCTGTGTCTTTCACACACAGCTGCTGTGGGAACCAAAGACATGTCCTGGGCAATCGGTGGCATTCATTTGTATGAGGCTGCAGAAATGCAATCCCAGTTTCTGGATATAAAACAAGTCCCTTAGGCAAACTGTCAGGGAAGAGCTGAAAAGTGTCACTGCTGCAGAGACAGATCAATCCATCCATAGCAGCTCTGGCCAGTTCTGCTGTTTACATCGGTAGGGCATCACTTAACCTGACTCCAGTGACCAGGGTTTAACCCTGACAATCACAGCTTTTCCTCTCAGCAACAAGGAGCTCCTTTCCTATCCCACTTCCCTCTTTTGAGGGCCTTCCTTTAGCAATTTCCCCTGAAGGACGCACATTCCTTAAAACTGGTGTCTCTGGCCACAGTCTGCAAACAAGCTGGTTCCAGCAAAAGCTGAGCTGGGAACAACCAGAGCTGCGTCAGCTCAAAGGTAGCAGCCATGGTCACTAAAACCTCAGATTTCGGGACCTATAATATACCTGCACGTACATTGATGAGCATCCTTTGGGTCTTGTATTTGAAATGCTTCGGTGCTCACTCTGCTGTGCCTTGGGCTCTTATGGAGTCTTGTAACTAAGCAACAGCTGGGCAATCCAAATGATGTGGCAAGGGCAAGTTATCCTGTAGGAATGTGTGGTGGCAATTCGAGAGGGAAGTAATACTTTGAAATTGGGTAATATTAATCATGCTGGGAAAACCTCTATGGCCTTCAGTGGGGCTTCAGATCAGAGCCAAAAGAATTCAAAATCAGCCACTGGAGTTAGGACAGTGGGTCTACACTCCCTGTGACAGAGAAACAAACCTAGAAAAATGATCTGCATGGCTGGGGATTCATGGACTTCCACTTGCTGCAGAAAGAAAAGTGGAAGACCATCAGCAAGGTTAACAAAACAGAAATGAGAAAGGTTTTCTAACATTTGAAATAGGAGAAAAGCCTGATCCAACCATAGCTCGTCCTAGGACTGCCACACCTGACTTGTAGGCTAAAGAAGAATCATGACAGAGAGTTAAAAACATCCCTCTACTAACATAAACATTTAGGAGAAAGCTGCCCCTTCCTGGGGTCGTGAGCTGGGGATCAGACTGTAATTCTGTCATTTAGTCCTAGGGGACTTGGCTGGGGAACTTCTACCTTCACCCTTGTCTGAGCCACTCAATAAGCCCCAACTCATACAGACAACACCAGCCCCAATGGTGCTTTCTGGTCTGAGCCAGGCCTCGATCCCAGCCTGGTGAAGCTGTATAAAGACCTGCAAGTACTTTTGTGGCCAAGAAGCTCATGGAAATTCACTTTTTTTTCATCTGCATAGAGCTCTGACGTAGGAGTATGATGCCATTTGGCAGCTTTCCTGCAGCAAAGTACGTGCACCATCAAATATAACTGCAGTACTGAGGTATCCGAACTGCTGCTGCCCAACAGGCAAATATGCTTCTCTTCTAACACCAGCTTCACTCTGCTCTTGAAATACACTTGCAGGCAACTAAGTTAAGGCTCAGTTAAGGCTCAGTTAAGGCTCATGCCACAGGAAATGGCTGGCTGGGGAGGCACAGCAGAACAGCTCAATCATTAAGATGCCAGGCTGGCATCAAAGGCACACCGAAGTCACCATCGCCCTCCAAAGCTGCTGTGAGGACAAAGACATCAAAGTGTGTCAGGCAGCCTGTGCCCACCTGCTGGGAGCTGTGTCATTTCTAGGTCAATAATAACCTTTCTATCTCCTTTCCAGATGGGCACATCAGGGTCACACAGACACTCGGTAGGAGATGCAGAACCTGCGTTTGCAACCTGACGCCATAGGATCACATATTTTACCACTTGCTGGAATTCTTTTTTGTTCCTTGCACCTTCTCAGCCATGAATTTCATTCCATCATTCTTGCTGTGGAAATCAGAAAAGCTTCCCATTAGAGGCGCCTAAAGCTCGAGTCTTAAGCCGAAATTTAGGAACTGGCATTATCATCAATGACTGGGCAGTTCTGCCTGCTTTCAGTCAGGATTTACACAGGATCTACCAGGGCTATTCTGTGCCTAGCAGGAGGCATCTTTACAGGAACAGATGCAGTTGATATGCAGAACTCACTGGCAGAGGACTTTGTAAAGATGAAAAACCTACCTGGGCTCAGAGAAGGTGGAGATAAATTCACGAGCACTGGCACCTGCTGAAGGCAGGGGTCAGACCGCTCACTGCCAGGCATCTCTGAGCAGGGGTTGCCATGAGCAGGACCTCTATGAGTTGTCTCTGTTCTCATGCTCTTTCCCTAAGCATTCGGTACTTTCCATTGTGCTGTATATCTGCTGCTCCCAAAGAGCCGCGGTAATTCCTTTGTTAGAAGGAAGACAGTAAAAGAAATTGTCATTTAAACAATGCATCAAGTTTAGCCATATCTCAGAAAGTCTTTTCAACTCACAACCCCCAAGCAGAAATAAAAGGGCATTTCTGCAGGAAATGTTCAAGGCTCTTGGTTCATCACACAAAGCGAACTGACAGCCATGAGGTGTGACATGATCTAATTTTAGAATTATCATATAAGACTCCAAATTTATTTTATTAAAGAGAGCTATAACTAAATTTTTATGCCATTAGATAATACAATTAAATTTTGGCTTGCTTGCAGGTCTTTGTATTTTGCCCCAGATAAAAAGGACTGTATCTACAAATGGATGTCTTCTGAGATTTTCTCCTGCAGGATGTTTAATAGCTACTGACATGAAATAAATCCTTAAAATCTAAACCAAAAAATTTTAGTCTACGGAATTGAACTGAAGAAAGTTGCAGTTTGATATGGAGACCTACTAAATGTAGGAAAAAAATAATCAACTCCTAAACTTTAGAACCACAGATAAGATCTGGACTGATTTTCTCAGTTCACTGCAAGAACATCTTGTGGAAGCAAAGCACAGTAATATTGAAGATCCATTAGAGGTGAAGTTTTTTACCCAGAATGGCTCAATATTTGTGTCCATATTAACATGTGAACAAACATACAGACTCGACTACAAACACTGGGTTATAAAAATAAACAGTAGCCCTGTACAGCTTGCTATTAATATATAATGGTAATAATAATAAAGGAATAAAATGAAGGCTATTTAATTTACTTTTGTAAGAGCCTATGTAAAAACATAGGATGTTTTCAGAGGGAAACATTAACAATTATTACTACTTAGTCACAAAAACCTAAAGACAGAAGCACAGTCACCCTGTAGTTTGCAAATATTAAAGATAAAATCATCAGCTTTGCCTATATCCTGGAGGGAAAAGAGAGGAAAAAAGGACAAGAAAGGAAAAATAATTTAACGGAAATCAGTTAATTAGGCTTTCAGGTTATGCCTGGACTTCTTTTATGTTTTCCTGTGGATGATGATACTACTTGTAGCCACATTCTCCAGAGTGAAATTTTGGATATGTCCCGGAGAAGAAACGCAAGGCTCAAAGCAGTCACAGGTGTTGTGATCTGATTTTTTTTCTACAAAAACAAGAAAATAAGGTGTGTGCTGATGTTTATATGGCAGGTTCCTTCTAGACAGTGCAGCTTCCTTAGTGCTACCACCAGGGCCAAATTAAATGACCAATTTAATGCAAGTGCTTTCTTGACAAGACTTATTGGTCCTTTCTGACCTCTCCATTAAAGACATAAATGTATCCCAACCGTTGTTTTGGAGAAGACCAAGCACATAGTTAAAACCTGCAGATTTGGGATAAGAAAAATGCCCAAAATGTAAACTGTCATGGTGCTTGAGCCAATTCCACAGCAGCATGGGCATCTGTGCAGGAAAACAGCTGGAAGTCCTAATCTTCCAAGGTGGTTCAGGCTAAGCCATCTCTCAGCTGGCTCAGAGCCCCAAGTCTGCCGGTGAGATTTAAGTTTTTGTACTATGGAAGTGCTTTTGAGCATTTTGTCCTAAAAAACCCACTGACTTTTCCCATATCTTTCAGGACAGAAAAAAGAGTGCATTTCATTAGGTAAGAATGAGTTCCTGTCACTCACGTTCAACCTTCAGGGTGGCATGTGCTAGGCAATAGAGGAATGAGTTACTTAAGACAGCTTGCCTTGATTTCTCAGATTGCTACTGAAATCCGTGATGATATAAGGTGATTCCAGGCTCAGACAAATTTCAATTTCTCAGTGAAGCTCTACCTTCAATTTCCTTCATTAAATGTATATATATATACACATATATATTAAAAAATGAATCCTACTCCAAGAGCCTAGTAAAATTGATTAAATAGCTCCCACTGGCTTCCTTGGGCACTGGTTCAAAATATTAGTCTGATTATTATTATGGCTCAAATTCAGCATGGTTGTTAAATATGTATCTAACTGAAAGCACCTGAACAGTCCCATTAGGATGATTCGTGGATTTTAAAAATAGAAGTATGTTTAAATGCTCTCTTGAACTCAGATCTAAATTAAATCAATACATGCCATGGCTCTTACTCATGAAATATTAAGGGAAGATACATAATTTATTGTGCTCTGTGTATGCATGTATACTTAGTACTGATTATTCTGTAATAGACCTATAAATAATTTAAACTATAAAGCATCCATTTTGGGGGGAAGGGGGAAGAAATCTTCATTAAACCCCCCACAATACACTTTTTGGTGATGTGGGGATTAATTGTCTTCCTTTGCACTGTAGACGCCTGCATAATAATTCTGTTCTCACAGAATAATTCTCTGTGTTCAAAAGCCCTTTTCCAGAGGGGAAAAGAGAAATCACAGCTTCTCCTACAGCCATGGGAGGAGATCCTGCGAGCCAGTGGCTGGGCAGGACAGAGGGCTGTGCTGACCTCTGCTGACGGACAAGGCTGCAGCGAGCACCTGAGCCAGGGTGCCTGAAGCACTGCCAGGACTCGGGACTACCCCTCACTAGCAAAGCCGAGCTCACTGCATTTAACGGGGCATTCAGCTGGGCAGGAAAACAGGGAGCCCGTGGTTCTAAGCCCACCTTATTTATTAACTACCACGGGTAACTGTCATTACTACTGTCATTACTATTATTTTATAAGCCTTTTTTTTCAGTTCTGTTTTTTGTTTACTGATGGCATCATGCTATCTGTGGCCTTTCAGTAATACACAAATGACTCACAGATAGCAGCATTCAAGGGCACGTTTCACTATATTTATGCAAGGAAGTGCATGTCTACTTTGCCGTGCACATCAGGGAGTACGTAATCAACCTGCTTGAACTCAGCATGTGTTTAAAAGCATTGCTTGGCTGGGAGATGTGTGTGGCACATTTAGCACCGCTGTCACGTGGATAGTTTTTAAAAGCTTTGCTGCCTTTTTTCACAATATGACCTTTCCCTACCCATTCCTGGGACGGGTGTTGCCTCCAATGGAGCAGGCTGGCCACAGCAATTCAGACACCTCTGTGCTCTGCAGAGGCAGAGCAGGCAGCTCTGCCCAGGACTTCCCATGTCCCAGCCCCAGTGAAGTGGGAGATGGGGCGAGAAATGGGAGGAAAAACATCTTGGCTTTGTGCAGCAGAGCAACGCAGTGACAAACTGATCCCTTTGAGGCAGGCTCCCCACCTCTGGAGCCAAGTCAGGCAGCTCACACATCCTCTCACATGTCCCCAGACACTCTGTCAGAGGGAATTGGCTCTAAAGATGACACAAGGGACCATGTCCACTCAGTGCTGCCAGGTTTGCCAGTGGGGATGCCGCAACACAACAAGGAAACCCTGCTGCTTTCTCCATCTTATTCCAGGTTTCATTTGCTGCAGGGAACTGAGTGAGGTAACACAACCACCACCAGGTAACAGCAGGGAATACTCACTGCTTCCCAGACTGTGTGTACACATAAGCCAGCTCTGGATAAGCAAGTATCAATGCCCTTTTCTTCACCTGGCCTTCCGCTATTACTGAAATAATCAAAATAAACTTCTTGAGGTCGGGCTTAACTTACCAGCTTTGTCACAGGCAAAGCTTACAGCATGGAAGTCTCCAGCAGGAGAACATATGCAGGATGCAGTTCTTCCAGCTGAGTTGAGCTCAGTGTCCATCTCACTGCAGAAGAGCAGAAAATGTCCTCAGTGATGTTAGGGATCTTACCAAGCTCTAAGCACCCACGTGGGATTTAAGCTGTGCCTTCACCCTTGAGCAGCTCCTGTGACCCACCTTTTACCTTTCTTGTGGTGAATGTGGTGTCTAGCCCGGTTTGCTTTATCTGTTTTCTTTATGCCTTTAAGTGTGAGGGCAACAAAACAAGATAAAAATCTTAATTGTGCCCTACTTTTGAGTTCAAGCTAATACAACTGCAACTTCACGTGAGTTCTGGCAGATCATGGTGGAGTAGGCAAAAATCACTTGAAGAGTTTTAATGAAAACCACAAAAAAATTTTTATGTCGCAGTGGATTTGATCGAAACATTCCAGTGGTAGCACCACGGAATTTCAAATAAATATTTGAAACTGGTAGTTGTGCACACCAAACTATTCCCACCAGAGAGTTAATGCTTCACCCCTGACTTCTCCATGCCAATCATTTACTAAGCATGCAACTGTGAACACCTGGTAGAGAACAAGCCTCCCAGGGAGCTGCTTAGAAAACCCCTCTGGAAAGTCATTGGGAATGAGTCCGTGCCACCTGAAAGTCAGGAGGCACATACCCACAGGCAAGAGCTGCGCTGTGAGCTGGGCTGTGCTCCTGCATGAGGCCATGTCACCCACATGCTCAGAGCCCAGCAGTCAACTGGATAAAAACCTGGAAAACTAGGAACCAACCTGAGGTTGCTCTGTATGCAGATGGATGTGCTGTTACCGAACACCCTGCAAAATCAGAGCTGTGAAACCTTTGCCTTTTCAATTTTTCCCCTAAAAAAGTTATTTTTAAGCGCTGCCAGGAGTTATGTTAGTTCTCTAAAAATAAAATGCCCTTGTCCTGTGCAGCTGCAGAGGCTTAGAGACAGGTGGCGCTACGTGAACGTGAATTTGGCTTTTAAATAGCTACATGAAATATTTAACATGACATTTCCTTACATACGAAGTGCATCTGAGCAGCGTCAGTATTTTAATTACTTCTTACACATCATAAATAATATATTAGAAATAAGAACCAGGAAGACAATTTATAGGGATGTTGCAAGACAGAAAAGCGGATATTCTCTGTGATTCGGCTCTCTGGGAAAAACTCCCTTGGAGTTGCAAGTGTCCCCCCATTAGCCAAAAGCTGCAGGATGAGAGCAAGAGGAGGCGGTTGCAGGTAACACATGGAAGTCAGTTAATTTCCAGTTTCCTGGGTCCCAAAACACCACCTGTGGAGTCTGGTTTCTAATAGCAAAGCTGCTTTAGTAAATGTAGTAAATATTTAAACAGCACTGGCAAGCGCAGTAACAGCAAAGGTAAATTTCCATTTGACCCAAGCACTGCTCTGGTCCTGGCTGGGGGTGGTCAGCTGGCAAGGCAGCCTTTGGAGGGGAAGACATCCTCAAAGCATGGGGGAAAAGGGTAGAATCACATGAATACAGTGAAATGCATTGAGTGAAAAGGGCATCCAAAGCACATCTGTGAGCAGACTGGGGCAGTGGAGCTTGCAGAGACCCACAAAAATGCAAAATTTATAGAGTAACAGTAACAAAAAGCACAACATTTTCTTTGAACAAGGATCATCCTCTTCACTCCTAATTGAGAATGTCCAAGGTCAGACTGGATGAGGCTTTGAGCAACCTGGTCTGGTGGAAGGTGACACTGCCCATGCCAGGGCTTGGAATGAGATGATACTTAAGGTCCCTTCCAACCTACACCTACACTCATAAACCAGATATTAAAAGAGCAGATGTGGTCATGTGAAGGTACCTTGTTTTTTTCATGTAACATCAGTGATTGCCTTCAAACTGCTGGACCAATTTGACATTTGGGACTCCTCCAGAAAGTGCGTTGTGGTATTGTCTAAGTGGGGAGAATGCCCCCCAAGGAGAAAAGGGAAACAAGGGAGCACGAGGGCTGAGAGAACATCAAGAACTAAGCCACGAGATTTTGTAAAATGCGATTCTTCATACTGTGAGCATGAGATGTTTGTTTCATCCTCCACATGCGTGGATTAAATCAATACAAACATCTTTTGTCCACGGGTGATTTAGAGAAACTGTAACACACTTGAAGGGTGGGAAGCTCAGCATTTAAGGCTAAGAAACCCAGAGGAGACAAAGTAGCAGTGTCAGAAGGTGTTCACAAGCAACCACCTCTCTCTTGCTCCAACTTTTGAAGCAAACCCTCTGACCATCCCCAACTCCCGCACTTTGATTCCCATGGCAGAGCAGCCTCAAAGCACAAAAACTGGGCTGCTCTGGGATCAAACTAAACTGGTGGTAAACGTGCATCTCCACCTCCTCACAGCACTCAACAGCGAAGTAAAGGAGCTCCTAGAGAGTTTTGCTTGCAGAACTGAACTGGGAACCATCTTTATGACATTCATTGCATTATTAAATATGCTAGATCTGAGCCACATTTAATAACACACTTGTTCCAAGCAGAGGCAGGTAATCTCCCGCTATCGGCTCAACCCTCAAAATATTTGTACTCTAGCTGTGACGTTTATATGGGCTAAACAGTAATTAGAAAGTTTAATAAGCACCCAGTAAAGCTTCCTGAGCTGTTCTGCATTTCCTCACTCAGGTCAAATAAAATCTGTTGTCCTGTCTTCTAAAAGGAGTTTGACATTTCCAGAAACTCAGTAAGCTGTCAGGAAGACTACAGTGGGCAGAAATGCTAACTGCTTTGGGGAGGAAAAAAACACTTTCCAAAGCTTACTCTTATTTTAGTACTGAAGAGGCTTTGAGAAGCACTAAGGAGTTTTGAGAAGTCTTTTTACAAAAGACATCTTTAAAGGCATGGCAAAAAAGAAATCCTGTAGGAGATGGAGCTTGCAGCCGTGCATCCCTCGTGGGATGATCCTCACGTTGGGGTGATGCAGAGCTCTGAGCTGTATCTTCCTCACATTCCGTTCCTGACATCCTTCACAGCGCAGGAATTAAAGCAAGGGAGTCACATCAAGAAGAGATGTACATCCACCCTTTGGAGTCCTGTTGAACTTTACCAAAAAACAACCAGACCAACTCCACCAAACCCCAAGAAATAAATATTTCAACGTTTCAATGAAAACAGAGCAAGTACCTGCTATTTCAAGTTAAGGAAACAATCTTGCACTAGAACAAACAAGAAAATTAGCATTTGTACACACAGACTTATGTATCTGTTGGCTGTAGATAAGCTGCAGTGGGGCTGGAAGTTTCCCTAAACCATCTTTCTGGGCAACAGGGAAGCACAAGCTTGCAGAGGAAAGCAGGGACATTTCCTGAGTTGTGAGAATGACATTAGGAAAAGGGATCCATAGCACACCACCAAGGCGGGGGGGAGGAGGGGGCATTCTTGGAAAGGGACAAAATAGCTGTAAAGCTGTAGTGCTCTGAATTTTATAGTAGGCAGGAACCGAAGGTCTGTTTTCCCACGTTTAGGAGACCCATAAACAAGGAAGACTGGAGCATTAGCACAGTGCAGACAGAGTACTTGAGAGAGAATTGGGTTTATGTAGTTACAGGAAATACATTGAAAGCTACAACAAACTTATTACTCACGTGTTGTAACGTAATCGTACCTATATCTCTTCATTTAGATCCATCACTAAATTGTAGATGTAGCTACAGGTAAACAAGTAAATAAAATTTCACCCTAACATCAGATTTTTAGAAGTAAATATTTCAAGCAAAATTCTGAACAGCCTGTGCTCAGTATACTTCTTTTTTTGTGTTTATATCTGTTTTATGCTTTGAGGGTGAAGCTGTTCCAGCATCTCAATGCAGAATTCATCTGGAAAATGCTGGAGTGAAGTCACATACTGGTTTTTCTCATCCTCTTTAGCTCCTGTTATTTGCCTGCATCATTTCATCTTAAGTTATAAGTATTAATGAGCCCATTGTATCTTCTATCTCCACTTCAATAGCCAAAATTCCAAACAATGGTTCCATTAAAAAAAAAAAAAAAAAGCCACTGGATAAATAAGGAAAGCTGTAGATCTTCAGCAACTGCTCAGTGTCAAGCTCCTCCTGCTGGGTGTCATTCCTCAGTACTGAGGGAAAAGTCCAATAAAGCTCAATTGGCTGCTGCTGCCCTTGAGCCACCACACTGTTGTCTCGGGCTGTATTTTAGGTTAAAGCAGGAAGAGGAACACACGTGTTGCTTTTACAACTCCCCTGTGCTTTGAAGGAAATCACTGACATCGAATTATAGTGAGGGACCCCGTCACCCCACTGCTTCAGATAAACCCAGTTTTGTGTTTGCTGTTGGTTTTGGGTGAGGGGAGACTCAAGGTTTTAATGCAGTGTCAGAAGCTCAAGAAAAGCTCTTCTGTATGTGACTCTTAGCCTAGGAGAAAGTATTTCTTTCAGCTTCACTTGTAATACAAAGATATTGACAAATATATTGTACATTCATTCACTGTTTTTTTTCAGATCCAGTTAAACTGCAGCATTTAGATGAGATACAGACTTTGGCAGGCCTCAGAAGATAATAATAACATATACAACAGATGTGAGGAAAACATTTTCATCACAAGGATGGTCGAACACTGGATCAGAGTGCAGAATGTCCATCCTTGGAGATGTATAAAACTGCAGCAGACAAGCTCGTGAGGAGTCTGATCTAACCAGATTTAGATGACTTCCAGAAGTCCCTTCAAACCCAAATTATTCTAAATTTTTATTCACTTCAGACGTTGGTAGAACTTCCCAAAAACCATAACAGAAAGCTGTAGTCTGTCCAGCCAGTGATCCACAGGCTGCAGACCACCAGCACCTGCAGCTTCAGAGCAGCTGTTGCAGCCACATTGCCAGAGCTGTTCCACTTCTGATGGAAGTGTTACACAACAAACAAGGGCCCTCTTCTTCCAGAAAGTAACTCACAGAATCCCTGTTGTCCTGGTTAGCCAGAAGTTTGTTTCCAGTCGGGTTTCTGTACTGCAGTTCTGCATCTGGTAAGACTGCAGCAGCTCATGGAGCTATTAAGGTCCTGAGA